AAAAAAATTTTTTTTTGCTTGATTTTGTTATATGAATTATTTTCCTTGTGATCTTTAAAATAGAAAAAATTTAATTTAACTTTGTATTTTGGTCTGACGTGTTTTTAATCATCAAATGATTCTTTTTATTAGTTACTCAGGAACTCTTTTTTACTCTCGATTAATTTCTTGGATACTTTTCACACAAAACAAAATTCACCAGACGGCTTATTCACAGTTGATGAGTTTTATTTTGAAAGAAATTGATTTGGAAAATTTTATTACATGAATTATATGATTTAGATGAATTATTTTAATTTTGATTCTTAAAATACAAAATTTCTTATTTTGGTCAGTCTGATGATGTAATATTAAATGATTGATAATTTGATTAGTTCTTCGGTCACCTTTTTACCTACTTTTTACTTTTACTTGAGTAAAACCAAGTTAAAGTAGTTCTACTCATCATTTTTAATGAATAAAAGTTGGTAGAAAAATTAAATGCCTTCCTCTGCAATATTCAACCTCAACCACTAGGGGGCGGTAATAACAAAGCTTTGAGTTTCTTCTGTATCTCAATTTGGAAAAACGAAGAAGTTGTCAAAATGTCCAGAATTATCAGCTGAAAATGTGAACAAAAACGCAGAGAAGTGATCGGTGTGTGTGTCAGTGAAACGGTTTGGCACCCCAGGGTGCCACGTTCTGTAAATAATGTAAGGTGTTTATGATCCGACTCCATCAGTGGGTATGTAGGTCAGGCACCAACAAGCTGCTGGGAATAATTTTTAGTTTTATTATGATGCCTCAGATTAAACAGAGTTCAATCATCTGACCCAGATACTGAAGTTTAATCGCTCCGACGACCTGAACCACAGACACACTGAAGAGTTTATTAAATATTAATATTCAGTTCCCTACAAAAACTGACTCACGTTTACTAAACAGAAAACGGTTCCGCTTTGCTACTTGAGACAAAATAAAATCTAAAAACATTTCAATTTTCGTCAAAAATTAAATGTTTTAACTGATTTTCAAAGTTTTAAACTCATTTACAAAAATAAAAGCCTTTCAATTTACAAACTATCCATACAAGTCCTGCTGTCTTATGTCTATAAAGTCAAAGAAAACAACTTAAATTTTAAGTTTAAATTGAAAACATATTCTCTTAAATCACAATCAAGATTGACAAATTGCTGTGTAATCTGATTAAATTCATTATTTTCTATTCATTTTATTTCTTCTTCATGCTGTTGTATTTATTTTACCTCAGTTTGTCTGCAGGTTAAAATCTGTTAACTTTATTTCTGTACAACGTCCTTTGCCATATTTACCAATACATTGCTAATAATTAATAAAAATACATTTGAAAGAAATCAGGACAAAAAAACAGGATAGTAAAGATAAATTACTAATTTCTCTGTACTTTTGTTTTACAGCAGCTTTACTTTAAAAATGTAAAATTTCTGTTTTGTTTTCACAGGAAATCCCTGAAAGAAACTCCAAACCTGCAGTCGCCTGACGCTTCAATAATGTATAAATATTTTATTTAGTCTCTTTGAAAGCAGCTTAAACTACCTGACTGTCTCCAGAAACCTATTTTAATTCAAACTGTGTCTTCTGTTGTGTTGTAAATAATGTTGAAGTGATTTGACTGGACCTGGTCTGTTAAAGCTGTTACTGTCAATAAACAGCGAGATGATTCAGAAACTATTTACGGTTTGGATCAAGCGATCCTGTTCCGGTGTTTAAGTTTTAAAATCTACACACTGAATCCCTGAAAACAGAATTTGAAATAAAAAGAAATGTTTTTGTTAACCGCAGAAGGCAAATTAACATGGACAGCTATAGTCAAGCTAACAGCTACTGAACGCTAAGCTAACAGCTACTTAATGTAAAGCTAACAGCTACTCGGCATTAAGCTAACAGATTTTTGTTTTTGTAGGAATGGTGGAAGAGGAGCATCATTTTGAAGATAATTATATTCAAATATTGCTGTACAAAAACATAAAGCTTAAAATGGTTATAAGAGTCATGCTAATAACTCTGGATAGCCGCTAACGGCTATCCAGAGTCAAACTGAATGAAAACTGTAAACCAAAAACTGAAGAAATAAAGTTAGATGCAACTTTTTATCAATTTGGTGACACAGATTAGATGGATGATAACTTCCTGTATGGCTAACTGCTAATGTGGCTATGCTAAAGCTATAGTTCATATAGGAACATGGCCATTGGTTAGCTGTCAAAATGACAAAAACAGTGCAATAATGATGACATGAAAAGATATTCGTTATAGATTCCATTTTAAAAATGCCTTTTAAATTAATATATTAAAATTTAAAACATAAAATTTTCCTTTTCCAAACCCGTTTCTGTTCATTAGTATAACTAATTTGTCAGTTTTTTCACGTATATCAAAGCAATATGTCTCGTTTCCTAAATAATAGTAAAGCATTTTAACATGCCAGTTCTTTGACAGGATGTCGCATTTGTTCTTTAAACTAAAAACAGTACAATTAAACATTTACACAAACTGATTCTAGACAGTTACAGCTAATCATAAATCAGAAAACGTAACACCATCATCTTCTTTCATAAAATAGAGATTCAAGTGTGTTCAAACAGCGGCATGTGTGAAGTTGTCAGTATCTTACCTGCTGCAGACAGAAGTGGAGAATCGTTGAGAAATGAGAACCAAGCCAAAAGCTCTTCAGACTGAGCTAATAAAGCTAAACTGTCACCTTAAAGATTCATTTTTGTCACGATAATCGCTGAATTATTATTAAATAATCTTCTTTCCTGGGTTAAAGTAAAGTGGAGATTTAGTGGTGTGATTTTCTTAAGCACATGTATCGAACAGGCAATTTAAACAGGGTTTTAGCATAACGAGCATTATTTTTTATTTTGAAGCATTGCATATTTTGTGCATTTCTTTTCAAACATAAAACATTTTTGTCTCTATATACAAAAGTATTGATCAACATTTGTATTCAGATGTACTGAATGTTTAAGGTTATACTTCACGTTATTTTTAGTAAGGCGATTACGTCGACTTCTCGCTACGACGCCTTATTTTCTGTGTGATCGTGTTAATAATTCTGTTGTACAAATGCTACATTATACTGACATTAAAATGAGTAATGGTGGTTCATTTGTCCAGGACTATTTGTAGAAGACTGCGCAACTGTTCACACAATCTAGTTACAAAGGTCACAGCTGTCATGTAACACACACACACACACACTGCTCTCCAGTTATCTACAGAGGCTATGGTAAGTCCATGAAGCATTCCGATGATAACTGGTGGATTTATCCAACACGCTGTGAGATTATGAGATTAAATGCGCGTTGTTTTTTAAAGTGTGGTCCTTGTAGTGGGAAGCGCGATGGAGCCTGCGGCTCGCCAGCCTCCGTGGCCCCGAATCGACAGTCGCTGGTGACTCTCCGTACCCGAACATCGGTTAACTCGAAGTCTTCTTCTTCCTCAGAATGTCGTAGATGTCGTCCACTTTGCTGAGTCTCTCAAAGAAGGGGATGAGGTCGAGAAGCTCAGTGTCTGACATGTCGTCAAACCAGGACACGACGGGAACCTGGAGGTTTAAAACGGTGATTTTAGTGGGAAATAAAGTTCAGACTTTAGGCATTTAGTCACCGGAGCAGCGTACCGCGTTGTCTGGATGGAAGATGTAGGAAGCGGGGGAGTTGTCTATGATGATCACTCTGTTCAGGTCTCTGCCTAAGCGGCTCAGGTCTTTAACGTAGTTCCCTCTGTGGTATACGCACGCCTCCCGAAAGAGGCGACTCTGGAAGGCTCCGCCTTTATCCAACAGGTCGGACACAGGATCTGCATACTGGAGGAAACGAGACAGAAAAACACAGGAAATTATAGTTTAGCACACCAGAAACAGCGTTGATGTAATATTTGCTCATATCTGACCAGAATTTTTTATTCCAATGCTTACTTGTTCTTCCCAACAGCCGTGTCACCTGAATACTTTATACATAAAGTCATGTGCTGCTGAACAAGACTCACTTTTCTCCACATAAATCTTGGAGCTAAAGAGGATTAGCTGCTCTACGATAATGTAGATGCTAAAACGTTTTTCTGAGGACGCGGCTTGTGATGTCACTCTATAAGTCAATCTGTAGTTCATTTTCTCAATATTTCTGGTTCTAAAATGTGACTTCAAGCTAATGCTAGCTAAGGCCAACCATCCAAGCTAAGTGAGCAGATGTTGATCTAGTCAACTTTATGCTCACAAACATCCATGGTTGCACTGATTTGGGTGTTTACTTCCTGCTGATACTACAGTTTGCATTCATATTGATACATTTCCTCATATTTTTATCTCAAGGCACACATGTTCCTCCCAACAGCCGTGTCACCTGAATACTTTATACATAAAGCCACATACTGGTGTGAGAGTCTCACTTTTCTTCACATAATCAAGTCTGTGTTTTACTTCTTTGGAGTTTAGCTGCTGCATGTTAATGTAGATCCTAAAAAGGTTTGTCATGTCAGTCAAACTCTATAACTAAATATCTGGTTAGTTATTTGGCCCTAGAAACTCACATCAAGCTAATGCTACATGTTGGGAGGGAAGGTGATTGAAATACTGTCATTTTTTGACTCAGGCATAGAAAACAAATCATTTCCAGCTGAAGCCAAGTAGCTACTCTAATTAAGTGGGTTTTGTTTTAATGTCACATCAACAAATGACAAAAAGTAAAAACAGCTGGAAAATGACTTTATGCTCACAAACACCCATTGGCACTTAATTCCTGGTGAAAGACAGAAGATCTTTAGTGAAATAAACTCTGTACTTTTTCCTCTGGTCCAAAAAAGCAAACATATTTATGAATCAGTTCCCTGTCAAACAGCCTCTGTGCTGTGAACAGCAACAGTTCATCAATGCTGCAGAGCCGCCATTATTCTTACAAGAGTCTTTACCACTTCGTAATTCAATACTTATATCTTTATGGCTCAAAACTATGATAGTATTTAAACTAAGATTTTAAACTTTTCATTTTGAGCTAAACTGTAAAAGCAAAGATGAATTTAGGTGAAAGGTCGCACATAAATCCGTCCTCAGTGATGTTACAAGCCAGCATGACGATGACCTGAGAAGATTTAGGGAAGCAAACCTTGGATAAACTCGCGGTGAATAAAACGCACTCAAACATTTCTCCCATCCTCTGGAGGAACTCATCAACATGCGGCCTCTTCAGCACATGAACCTGATGGACACAGAAATACAAGAGTCACTGAAAATAAACTCAACTTTAGAAGGAAGCTAAAGTTGTAATTTTATAGAAATTGTGTTGTTCTTCTAAATGAATTTCCTTATATTTAACTGTAAGATGCTGGCAGCCATGTTTCTGAACCAAGTCATCCAGAATAGGCTTTCCCCACTTTTACAAGCCGATCCTGGAGTACTTGAAGCAGACCCAGGCCCAGAGGAGAGAGTACTTTAAAAAAATAACAAAAATCAGGCATAATCATTTTTCACAAATCAGTTCCTTTTCCAACTTATGAAATTTTAATAAAAACTGTAGGTGTGTGTTTGGTGAATTTTTGATCAAAACAAGATTTTTCTTCATTAAAGCTGCAGTATTTAATTTTTATAAAAATTATTCTGTTTTCATATTTGCTGAAACTGTCACCCTGTACAGAATGAGAGAATCTAGAAACAACCAATCAGAGAAAGGAGGAGGGTCTTACCGCTGTAAATCACCTGTGTGATGATTTCTTTCTGCTAGGCTGCAGCTAGAATGCTAATGCTAATTAGCATAGCCACAGATGATGGCAGATAAGCAGATTTCCTTTAACAGTAAGTCATCTCTCCACCATCAACACATTTAACAGCGAGTATATGAGCATAATTGACAGCGCTAAGACCTGCCTCCTGGCTCTGATTGGTTGTTTGATGCATTTCTTCAGTCGGCAGTAGCAGCTCTGAGAGATCGACGTTTTCACAGATTATCCATATCATATCAAACTGTCACAACATGGCGACAGTTTTAACAAAGATGTAAAAAATATATATATTTTAAAAGTGAAGTTAATCACAGTTAGCATCCAGAAAAAAATAAAAAGCATGCACTGAAGTCATTTTTCATCTCTCAAGTAAATGTAACTGGTTGCTACCCAAAACTTTCACAGGAATGAATTTTGTTGTTTTTTGGAAAGTAAAGCCTCAGTCAGCTAGAAGAGCTAATCGCAGCTAGCGGCTAGCAGCTAGCGGCTATAGCATGTCAGGCTGCAGGCTGATCTGGGGATAAGATGTGATACAGACTGAGATTGATGGCGGGTATTTCTGAGAAGCCTCGCAGGCTCTCCTTATTTTATCGGGCCTGAAATAGGAACCTGCAGCCGGGAGCCATCAATATAAAGAGCTTCAGCTCTGCCAGGAGCAGCAGCTTCAAAACCAGCGGGCAAAGCCACACTTTCACCCAATTATTTATGAAAAATAGGAGGTTTGCATTCAAATCGGAGCCAAATCAAAATCCATTTTAACTTTTTTAAACTCAAATTGCTTATCCATAATGAAATGATTTAAGTTCCTACCTGATGAACAATTCCTTCAATTTCCACTGGAATGATAAAGTCTGCATTGTTCAAAGGCTGTGGAGATAGAAAACAGACAAGAAACATATCAATTACAACTTTAAGCACTTTAAAAACCCATTCGAGTCTTGATATTCAATTAGTAAAACATCAGAGATACAAGGAGGCGAAGCTAAAAAAAAAATAAAATGATTTACTGGGTGAATTCTCAGCATCTGAATTATGCATCTCGGATGTTGAATCACTGGAAGAGGAGCTATATAAGGCGCGGGGC